GGTCGGTCGGATGGTTGCTTGCTTGGTTGGCTTGGCTGGCTGGTTCGCTGACTGCCTTGCTGGCTAGTTGGGGCTATGGAAGCCGAGTATCGCCGGTGCGATGCGTGCCGGCTCTTGCGTGTGTTACGTATAAGCAAGAGACCGCATGCTGGGGAGACACGCTGCTTACGAGCGCATCACGTACAGCAAACACGCTCACGCACACGTACCGCAAACACGCTCGCGCGAGTAACCTACGCGTTTCGGAGAGAGAGAGAGAGAGAGAGAGAGAGAGAGAGAGAGAGAGAGTTCTCTACGAGCGTAGCATTTTCTGGGGAAACTTTTTGGAGGATTTGCGGGCCGGACTTTGTCGGTCTGTTTTCCTGTCGCGCCAATGGCGGAATTTTCATTACAATGGCGCGGTTATTGTCCCTGTGGTGCATCGCTCTTCCGGCGAGATGTACGCATGTGTACGCGGAATGCCGGTTTCGCGTTCGCGCGAATATTTGGCACGAAGTTTTGGGGCTTCGTGAAGTACGCGGTGTACCCCGCAACTGGTAGCGCTTGGCTTGTAGACACTTGTTTCGGAGTTATCGTCGGCTAATTTCGCCGCCGTGCGTTCCGCGAATGCTGAAGGAAAACTGACAATTATTATTGTGAGTTTCGGAAACGAACGTGTCTAATCTGACTTTGCGCGATGATGTTTAGAGCGTGACGTAAATTCTGCTGTGAAATATGTGCGGAAGAAGCACGCAAATGCATTACCGCTTCTTCTACTGGATCTTTATCACTGACGCACAGCCGCTATATGATCGTCTTCAAAACTATGTTCGCGATAAGATGCTCGGATTTCTCAAACAGTTCTTGTCATTTGAAACATTGATGATCGTTGAAAGTTAAAGCACGCACTGAAACTTATTTACAAGATTCGTCATCGAGCAACGTGTTAATTGATAACGTCGTGAATACGCTGCACTAAGACTCGATACATGTATACAGCATACACTGTATTGAAACACAACACATCGCATTGATCTAATCTGTACTTGCGGGCAGGCGTCTACACCACGAAGCGATCATGCATTCTAAGCCCTTCGTATCGGATCTCTGGTAACTAACGGAACGGATATTAATTTCGACGGGCTTCTCAAACCGATCTGCTGATCCAATTTGCACGCATATTTGACGTGTAACCCGTCGTACATGTGCGCATATAACGAAGTTGTACGAAACTCCGTACGACTATGTCCTGTTGTATTAAACTATGCCTCCGAAGATACCAAATTTCACCTAAAATAAACCGCTCTATTTTTAATCTCCATTATCAATCGCTTATATCTTTTGAATCTAACGTAGTATAAAGAAAAATTAAAAGAAATTATGTTGAGAAGAGAGCGAAATACAATAAATTAATGATATATAATAACATGAAAGTTTTACAAACGTTTCGACTCTGATCCGATCGTTAATCAATGTTTAACATGTAATTAATTAGATATAAACATAATAAAAATTTAATAATAAATCGTGATAAAAGAGGCAATTATTATATTAATAGGAGTCCATCAATTTATTGTTCTTATTGTAATTGAAGTGAATTGACGGAACATAGTCCGTTTTTAACGCAACGATATTTTAATCTTTTTCCAATTTGCCTTTTTTCTATATTTGCGACCGATTTTTTCGCGGCAGATTACAGATCCCTAATTCGTTAGTAAATACGAGAAGTTCGAGTGGCAATGCTCTCTTTGCACTATATAGAGATTTGCGAGTGATGTTTGCGGAAGTAGCTGGGCAAAGAGAAGAGGGAAAAGCGAATGGAAGCGCGGTCGTTCGGCCGGTCGTGAGTACCGGACGGGCTGTGAAAGTTTTCCTTTGCTCGAAGGTCCTAAAGATTTTCGAGATTAAAAGCTCTACGAGTCAACTGTGTCGCATCCGATGCCGCCTTGGTTTGGCTAGTCTCTCTCTCTCTCTCTCTCTCTCTCTCTCTCTCTCTCTCTCTCTCGTCCACTATCGCTTCCGTTAAAGCTGCGTAATGAGCGACCACAGCTAAGACTCATCCGGCACGCGGTATTCGGAGCCACGCATTCCTGTGGTCGGGGGTCAGCATGAATGCCGAGACATTGCCTTTGGAAAGCCAGCGAAGTTAGACGGAATCAGCCGAGAGCTTTCGTACGCGGTACGCGGATACACCGCGGTCGAATTATTCCCTTTGAAAAGGCCCGCGTGTCTTGCTTGAGGTACACCGAGTGAAAGAGGAGCGGAGAATAACTCTAGCCTGACTCTTGGAAATTATTCTCCCAAGTTTTCCTTTTGATTTGCCGCATGGAGGAGTGGCTGATCTCAGCCGATCGCGCACGAGCGCGAGGCGTCGCAAATGCGTTGCAAACGCGTCGCGACGCGACGCGACGCGACGCCGTGGCAAAAATCTTCCGGGGGATTCGATTAATTCCTACTATGCATTATTCGTACCGTTCTTAGCTGCGCTTCTTCTTCAGTTTTTTTTTTTCTTTTCTTTTTCTTCCTCGCCAGTCGATGCTCTGGAAGTTCTCTCTCGAAGGTAAAAAGCACGCGAGACGTGGCGTCGAGGATGAGAAACGGTGGATAAAGGCGGCGATGGTGTAGTGGTCGATGGTGGAGGTCGAGGGCGACGCGTAACGCGAAGACACGACCCAAGTTCGCGCGATCGTTGTGGACGTGCACACAAAAGTGGGAACTTTGTTGCGAAATCCCGAAGCTTGAGTCACGAGCGAAGTGTTAGTGCAAATCTGTGCCGAAACGAGTAAGATAGCCGGCACGATCGATTCACAAGCGCGAGGAATAGTTCGCAACTTCTTCTTCGTCGCTTTCACGTAATCTCACAGCGTTCTTGAACGCGTAGCGGCTTGCCGGGTATTACAGGTAGAAAACGAAGAACGATGAGTTTTCGGCCGTTTAACCTAAACCCGCTGCGTGAGTTTTGCTTTAATCGCTACTTTAATCGGATTCGAGGAGCTCGTGCAAACTTTAATTTCCGTCCGCGTACAAAGAGTTTTGCAAGTGTGAATTAAATTAAACAGATGTTCTTTCTGTCTTTTTCGCTTTCGCAGTCGGATCCGTGTATGTTTGACAGCTTATACGTATCTCGTCCGAAAGGAGCAGTTTTAGTAGCATTAACTTCAATTTTTTTCCTTTATTTAGAGATAAATCCGCTCACGACGTAAACTCCGGCTAGAACGATGTTCTATATGACACTTGTGAAACACGAAACAAAGAGTATATGCGAACCACGACGAAGACGGCGA